CACACACACACACACACACACACACACACACACACACACACACACACACACACACACACACACACACACACACACACACACACACACACACACACACACACACACACACACACACACACACACACACACACACACACACACCCACCCCTATTGGATGACTAGTCAAATTTGGAAGATCTCTTTTCCTAGCTCTTTTATGGAGATCTGACCTTCAGTGCAGCAGCCATTCATACCAAGCCCCTCAGCTGCTCTTCATCACATAGGAAATAAAGGCACCAATCATTATACTCAGTCCCTTGTAATCCTCTTAAGGTCCATTTGCTTCTGAAAGAAACTGCAGCTTTTTGTCTAATGCACTAGAAAACCTGTCCGCCGTGTGTTCTGAACATGCAGTCATCTCCATGACAGTTTTAAAGGCAGGGTTGGTAATCATCTTTACCACATTTCTTTAGATACTTTTGTGGAAACTCCCATTACATCCTGACAGCACGTAATGAATCAAATGTTCTGACAAATAAAGTGCGACTGTCAGAGGACTGTAATAAGTCCGTCAAATCATTTCATTTGTCACCAGAGTCTTCCAAAGGCTGCTGGCGAACAACTGCGAGTATTAACAAAAGACATGCTCTTTGTTTACGTTCATGAGGATCATTTTGGGAGAGTTGGTTTGGAGGGAGGCCTGAAGGGAGGAGCTGTCAGTATCACCGGCTTGGGGACTTTCTCGCTAGAGTTAACGACTTTTGGAGCTAAGTGCTGCTAGCTACTTTCATTGGAGAAGAGTTGGGCTGGGTTTTTCTGTTGGATCATTTTAAAAATCTAACATGCTGTTGCTAGTTTCTCAAGATTACCGACCCTGCTTTTAATACGCTGATAGGGTTATTTGTCCGTGTGTTTACTGCATTATGTGACTGTGCTTTCACTACCAGCGATCCATCAATGTGGCATGGCCACTGAAATAGCTTTTGGTTGGTTTATGGCCCCAGAAAGAGTGTGTACAGTATTTACATGTTGATTAGGTATGAGTCTATGTAGGTATATACACATAGATTTGTGTGTGTGTGTGTGTGTGTGAGAGTGTGTGTCTGACCTGTCAACCGCCGGGTGGTACAGTGGCCTGCTGTCCTGTGGGGACAGGTAGCTGTAGGCGGCCGATCCTCCCACTACTCTGATCTTAAACAGCACACCAGCATTCTGCAGGGAGAGGAACACACTTTGGTACATCTGTGTCCTTTCTTGCTCAAGCAGCAGGTTGATGAACGGTGGTGTGTTGTGGGGTATGACTCAATGATTATCAACGGATGAAGAAATATATTTTACTTCAGTTTGTTTGATAGATTAACTCGCCCATAAAATGACCATTTCTACGTCAATTTTGTTCCATGTGTTTTTAATGACTGGAAAAGAGGTCAACTGTTTTCCAGGTCTGCCATCACTGTAATTATAACGGGGTTTCTCTGAGGACAGACAAAGGTGAACGCTACCAGTATAGATAACCGCCGACATTCTGTAACATAGCGTCGCTCTGAAGTGCATAACTTGAAGTTATTTAAGATGATGAAACATTCTGCCCTTCACTGCTTGTGTAGCGCCTCGTAAGGCTTTGTTCTAACCGCATTCCTATTGTAACAGCATTATAACAGCATTATCTTGCATTCAGCACTAATTTGCTGTATTTCATGTAGATAGACAGGACTGTGTGTATAATATATATCGCTCAATCATCACTTTTCAAACAAATATTTGTAGTGATTCACATAATAAGATATATTTTTATTGAAACACAATACATTATCATATTGAATTATATTATATAAATATTTCATACTACATATTCAATGTTATAATATTGAACTATGGCCTAAACAACACATTTGCTCTGTATATACATATATATTTAATCTCTGTCAACATTTAAGCATGAAGAGGAGTTCCTATAAAGGAACATACAACATGACGAAGGCCTCGATGTAGAACAGAGAGTAAACCAAACAAAGCTTGAGAAGTCAACATGTGTCATTTGAACGGAGAGAAACGAGAAACAATTTCCTAATTGGTATTTCAAAACCTTTTGAATAGACATAATGGACGTGAATAAGAAATTTAGAGTTACAGAGTGCTTGTAAGGAACTTCTTTAGCATTTGGACAACATCTAAGTGCCGTGTAAACCAAACAACTCTCTAATTTGATGCTGAATCTGGCAGGATCCACACGTAACATCACACAACCGCCCTAATTTCTATCTATAGGTGACGCAACTAGTCTTGCCGCCTCCTTGTTCCTGGAATAGAGAAAATTCATCAAGGCAAGAGGGCTGATTATAGGGGGCAGAATCAGGCTGCTAATGCGTTCATTCTGAGCGGACCGACGTTAGTGCGCAGAGACTGCAGAAGTGCATAGAAAGAAAGACATTAGTTGGTTATTAGGAGCCTAAAGCAGCAAATGAAAGAGGAATAGTCTCTCTTTTAAGTTTGAATGGCCTGAGCGAGCATTTCAGATGGTCCATCTATCTATTGGACTATAATGAGTAATTACATTAGAGTTCGGTACACTTTTTGAATGAGAAGATGATCCGTGATCTGCATTAAATGAGAGCCGTCCAGTGAGGATTTTGAGTGATTTCGGGACCCAAAACTAAACCCAGGGGTCTTCCGAGTGAGAATATGAATATGCAAAGCCTTCATATCGAGAAGTAAAATAAATGCACCATCTTTAATTTGAAAGTAGCAAAGCTTTTAAATGTAGGATTGTAGGATTTGGCGGCATCTAGAGGTGAGGTTGCAGATTGCAACAGACTGAAACTTCCTCCATGTGCAAACATGTGCAAACGTACTTCCTCCGTGTGCAAACGTGCAGGCAAACTACAGTGGCCGACACAATGTTCCTATCCAGAGCCAGCGTTTGGTTTGTCTGTTCTGGGCTTCTGCAGAAACACAGCAACATAGCACTCCGAGAAGACGACCCGCTCCGTATGTAGTTATAAGCTAAGTTCTAAGGTAACAAAAACACCATTCTTATTTTCAGGTGATTATGCACGAAAGAAAACATATTTATTTGTATTATATTCCATTTCTGCCAATAGATCCCCCCTAAATGCAAACACACTGTTCCTTTAAGCTAAAGTAAGCATCCCATGTAATCAGTACGTACTAGTAACGGCAAAAAGTGACCATGAGAGTTTGAGAGCGTTGCAAAATCTATGTCAATAACAGAGGCAACTTTTATGGAATATTTTAACATCAACTCAGAAGACAGATTATTTTGAAAGAACTTTGACCGTATTTTGACCTCCCACAGTTGATCAATAACTCCTCATCAATAACTTAATCCTCCAGGACTCCGATTTATTTAATATTTAGTAAAAGACCTGAGAGGATTTTTAAACCCTGTAAAATTGTAACCGGTCTGCCGGAAAGAAAAAAACTAAAAAAACAATGTACTCTTCATGTACCCAATGTACTCTTTTGAAAGGTTAAATCCTTTAGAATCTCTAAATTATAAAACAACAAAAATTACATATTACCATCAGAGAATGTACGTTTTGAGTAAAAACAAAAAAAGAGTAAAAAACAAAAAAAGCCTGGTGTATTGTATGACCTTTACTATAAAACACAGATTGGGTTTCCCTATGAAAAGGATTCGGGTAGAAAACTGAATTAGGAGAGTTTATCCGAGAGGAATCAGCTGAAAAGCAGCAGACGATAAGAGGAAAGACTATATCTTAAATGTTATAATAAAAAAATCTAAAAGGTTTTCATTTTACAAAAGCATCTTCTGAAATGTCATCGGGTAAAATTCTGGTGAAGGTAAAATATTTCCCTCCTTAATTAAAGTGTCATGAAGTGGTCATGGTGCAGTGGCAAAAAGCATGTGTTATTGTGTTTTCCAACACAATAACAACAAACTTCACCGTTCATTTCATTTTCAAACCGTTCCACCAGCTCTGACATTTAGCACAGACCAACACACGGCCCTCAGCGAACAATCCAGTGCATGAGCACTCTCGGTTGTTTTTGATATTCTGGGAAAGAGGAACCGGACTTTTGGCATGCAAGTCAGTAACGTCTCAAGTTTTCCTTTTTTTCCATTCCCTGACAGGAAAGTTGTATTTTGCTGAATAAACCTCTGGGTGGCACCAAAACATCTCGTAAAAAAACAAAGAAGAAGCAGAGAGTAATGGCAGCAAAGTACTGGCACACTTTCGTGAAAATACAAACAGCATTGTTGTTTATTGTAAGTGCTGATATTACACAGTAATAACAGTTTGTTTTCCTTTTAAAATAAGAACAGAATCAGCAAAAAAAGAAGCCCTGCTCCCTTTGGATATTGATGGCCTTTTCAGCAAAGATTATCCGTTCAATCTTCCACCAAAAGGTGATTAAGAAATATATGTGTGGCGAAGGCGAGGGAAGGTTTAATGAGTTGGTATCTGGCCAGACAGGCTTCGAGGAGGTAACTTAGAAACCGAGATAGTGATCAGTAAATAACAGGCTGATAATTCTCTTTTCTCCTCCGCCTTAGTCCTCGTCTTATAAAGCTTAAAATCTGCTCGCTCTGGATAAGGCCACCTCAAGTATTGCCTGTCACCATGGCGTTGCCCGCGCGAGTGAGCCGGTGCGTTTGAGAGCGGAGCGGTGGTTTGGGGGCTCATGGTGTGCTGGTCCGCTTGAACGGTCTACGAGGGGAAAACACACAGAGTGGAGATGTGCTTGCGGCTCGCGGTGAGAACCGAGTGAAACTCGCGGGATGTGTTGTGTATTCAGGAATGTAGCAGTAATATAAGACATTTTAATACAATGTAATTAATACAATGTAATTAAAATCTGCCTTTTATCTCCACTCATTATTCTAAAAACATAGAACTTCATTTATAGCGGTAAAGAGGAGGATTTGTGTTATTGGATTCTGAGTGGGCGGTGACATAATTAAATGTATGCTCTATGCATGCTTTGTGTGTGTGTGTGTGTGTGTGTGTGTGTGTGTGTGTGGGTGTGTGTGTGTGTGTGTGTGTGTATGAGAATATAATGTCCCGAGGTAGTGGTAGTGTCTGGAGATCAGGAGAGATACAATTAACACCTGGTTAATTGTATTAACCAGGTGTGACGACTAAGCATTTATAAAAGAGAACTCACATAGGTATTTAATTATAAGGAGCCAACACAATACTGTAGTCACTGACATACAAAGGGTAACTCAAACTTCAACAACAGGGAATCCAACAATTATTCGCTCAGCATGCTAAGCAGGAAAACTTTTTTCTAGTTTTTTTTTGCTTGATATGTGACTCTGACATTTGTATGCAGACAATGAGAACTATTTAATCCAAACACAGAACCCAACCGTAATGAAAATTGATTAAACTTCTAATGAACCTCTGCGCTGCTATTTTAATTTGCTGCACTGGAGTCGAGGGCAAAGAAATAAAGTGGATGATGTGCTATTGGGGCTGTGTGAGGTGTCTGTGTGTGTGTGTGTGTGTGTGTGTGTGTGTGTGTGTGTGTGTGTGTGTGTGTGGGGGGGGGGGGAGACCATTACCTGAGCCTGGGATCCATTCAGCATCAGATAATAGACCTTGCTGAGGATGCTCTGCTGCAACTGGTCCCAAGAGATGCTCCTGTCCTCGCGCATGAGGAATGGAGGCCCAAACCTGAGAGAGGAGAGGAAAGGGACAGAACACGAAAAAGATTGGTAAACTCAGAAAGTCATCCACACAAAAAAAAAAAAAAAACATGAATTAATTTCAATGAAGAATTCATTAGAATGTTTTAGAGAGGAGTCGATTCAATGTTACGGTCATGGCTGTAGATTGTGGTGCTGTTGCTTGTTGTTTCTCTGTTTAACAATTGCAAGAGTTTGGCAAGACCCATGAGTTTCAGTTTATGGAAATCTAAGAGCTAAAACATACGATGATGTTTCCTGTTTCAACATGACAATGGCCCTGTGCACAGAGCAAATAAAAAAATTAAAAAATAGTTTTCCAAGTCGGTCATCACAGAACTTAATTTCGCCTGACCTCGATCCCCGTCAAGCGTCTTTGCGATCACTCGGAGAGCTGATTGTGGGCCGTGCTCTGGAGCGCATCCTTGCAGCCAGGTCACCAACATCTTGTGGAAAGCTGGAAAGTTATCGCAGAAGAGCGGTGGAGTTGTGCTTTTAGTACGGGTGTCTAAACACTTTTGGCCATGTTTAGAGCCAGTTTCTGATCCTATAGGTGTAAGTGCAACCGACAAAGAACTGTCGTTGAATTTAGGTGATGGATGGATACAGAACAAAGAGAGACCCAGGTGTTTACTACCATATACACGTGAGTCATGTGGACAAATGAGTCCTCAAATGTCACATTCTGACATTATTAAGCCTTTCATAGGAACGCCTGTTGTCGGACATGAGGACTGAAACTGGATGACAATAGGTTTATTGATGCCTGTGGGGAGCCTTACGATCTCAGAGCACTAATAATGGTGACGGAGATATTTTCAAAGCACCTTCGTATCAGAGGATTACCGTTCGAATGTTACAACAATCTCCACCCGGCACTCTGATGGACACAGACTGCCCTCGGTCAAATGAACACTCCCGTTAGAATGATGCTCTGTGTTACAAAGCACACAACGTCTCCTGATGGGTTCAGTAAAAAAACATTACAGTCACTTACATTTAGTACAATTGACCTCAGAGTGAAAAGGTCTCCAGCGGGTGAATCCACGGCAAACACAACAAATTCACTCTCGAAGCAAAATGAAATTCTTGCCTACAGTGACAACTTCATTGCTGAGGAAGTAGACATGATCAGAGCATTTCTTCTCTGATTCACAAAGCCATTCAGCGCCTGTGGGACATTTAGGCGGCGATCCAACATGTGGCTACATTTTACTTCAGTAGATGCTAAAAACTCTCGTCACAAATGCAGTAAAACCCTTAAAAGCAAAGGGAGGAAACAACAGCAACTTATCACAACATTTGGCAGAACATAAATCTGCAGAAATGTTTTCCACCGTTTGGCGAGCAGCCGTCCATCCTCGTCCACTCCAGGTAACGTTAGCGATGCCATACGGGGTTTGCTGATAAGAATAGAATAATGAATGATAGCCAATCGCTCAGCTATTTGTTTAGTTGCGACTGTATTGTAAAGATTTTGGAACTTCTTGTATTGCTGCTCAAGAAAAACTATTTGTTTACATACAAGACTAATCTACCAATGTCGATTCTTTTCTTAATCAATTGTCTTTTTTCCTCATAGAATAATCAAAAAGAACCAATAAGAGTATCGATTAGGAACCGAACCGATAAGCAGAATCAATAGGACGATATCCATCCCTACATTTAACTTTCATGAATTGAAAACACACTGTGAAAGGTTTTAAGTTCTAAGACGAACACACGGACAACTCCATCGTTGTGACCTGTCAATCACAAGTTAGCCCCGCCCTAAAGCATACTCAGCTTCATGGTATTTTACTTTAAATGGGACCTTAATTTACTAAATGAACATCATGCTGTGTTGAAGAAGACTTAAAACCACCGATTGAGACCATAAACTCATGTTTTACTGAAACAAAAATATAAATCAAGTGAGAAGTTGTCAGGCCGCTGATGGCCAGTAATGAGAATGGAAGTTTAAGGCACTTCAGCATTGGCCGAGTTGATTGGAGGTTGCCGCCTCAGTTCATCCCCGAGTACAAGGGGACGTTTGTGCCAAATTTGAAGACGTTCATTCCTGAGAAATCGGGTAAACGAGGATGGACAGACAACTCGAACACATAACGCCACACAACAACTTGGAAATCAATCAGCCTGCAGCTCACCTGACGGCCTGCGGGCCAGATCCTGCTGTGCTGCAGATGACGAGGAGGACCTTGCTGGAGCCGCCCTGGTTCAGGTATTCAGAAGAGAGCGTGCCAGACGGAGGTAACCTCTGACCGTCAGGTCCAGCCGTGGAGGTGTAGGGGGAGGAGGGGAGGCTGTGGGGATACCCTGTGCAGAACAGAGGAGGGCAGAACAGACGGTTTCATAAAAGCTGAAGAAGAAGAAGAAGCAGCAATATCTCTAACATGAAGGTGTACATGTCGGAGGAAATGAAAGGGTAAAGAATATAAAGCCGATTTGATTTGAGTTTGACAGGAGACAGCTTGTCTGTGAGTACCTGGGGTCGAGATCACTAAAACCGTGTGATCAGAATAAAAACCCTGGAATAATCAAAGGTTTTCTTTCACAAGCGGACTCGAGAGAAACTCAGGGATGCATTAGTTGTGCGCAGGTAGGTCAGTCTATGGCCGTATTCAGATGGCCAACTCAAATCTGTTTCTTATTTGCATATCAACATTGTATCCAGATTGATTTTTAGAAAGTCTGGACCTCAGTTGCAAAACACCTTTGGGTGCCAGAATGAGAAACTGCTGTGCAAGGAGCAACGTCTAATGTGAAACGTTTACACTGAAAACATTTCAAAACATTAATATTGAATTGCTCTTTGATTCTTATTTACCCCCGAGGAGCTGTAAGATGAATTACATCTGCTACCACACATGTGCTTGCGCACACACACGCACACACACAGTGTGATTAATAGTGGGTAACAGCTGAGGGGATACAGAAGGCCCAACCTCTCGTCTCTCAGCAAACATAAACTTTGACATTATCAGAGGCTATAATTAAACAATGCTTGTGCGAACCCCACTGAGCAATTAATCGCTGCCACTTTCCAACATCACACGTAGAACACACCTGAACACAGACACAGGAGAGTGTGAATAGATGTAAAGCTCAGATGGAACGCCTTAACAAAAAAAAAAAGCTTTGTGTGAAAGACATAAAACATTTCAATAAGTAGATACAAATTTTGATTTAAAAAGTAATAATATATGAATACAAAAATAAAAGTGCTGTTAAAACAAGGTCAGAAAAGTGAAAAAAGAAGCTTTTGACTAATGTTTGTGTCAACTGTCTGCTACTAAATCACTCAGCGTTGTTTTTCTTTCCCGGCAGACGGGAGAAACTCGATGTGACATTTTAGGCATATTGGATGCCCTTTGGACGGCCAATTCATCTCCTCACGCTTTGTCTGTCACCCCTCCCTCCATACTCTCCGTCACCGCTCACTTTTTCACTTGGGAGGTTGAAAAGTAAAAGACTATAAGAGTATTTAGTTTCGATACCAACTGTAGAGCATGACTACCCAACCATTAACCCTCCAATTCGCCAATAAATCAACTGTTATTTTTTAATTTACGTTTTATAAATGTTGCTAATTCTTGCTGTAATACTGAATGACTTCCTTCCTTATTTGTTCCCCAGCAACTACTCAGTATTTCAAGTACCGTATTGCAAAGTGTTACTAAAACAGTTTAAAAAATGACATGAAACTTCTGGTAAATAGTGGGAGGAGCAGAAAGGTCACAACCCCTGAAGAAGGGAATAATATTCTGCATATAAGAATACAACCCTGACACCTTTAAATGACATTTGTATATGAATGTGGTTAGATGGTTACGCTTTGAAAGGATAGTAATTGCTAACAGATTAACAGGATTATGCTCAACATAATGATTGAGAAATGTTAAAGGTGCAATCTGTAGCCACGAGTCACAGGAGCAGCGCTGGGTCCAACATGTGTAACGGTGGCAAAAGAAAGTTTGCTGATCCAAGATCATCAAAAGGGGAGTTTCAATATCGCGCAGTACACACAATATGGGCCGAAACGTGAAGGTTATAAGGGTTTCAGCAGCAGTTTAAGCTTTTTTCTTGATATACAGCTGATGACAGTAAATTTAGACTGTATGGAACCAGTAGTAGAGGTGAAATCATAGACTGTATATAAGAAGTGGATGCTGTCATCGTGTCGCCACCCATTGGTTTGTGGACTGCCGTTATGAAGCCTTGAGTTCGGCGATTTTGCCTTCGCCATCGTGGAATACGGCCGTCGCCATCTTGGCTATTTTGCAACCGACAAACGGAAGTTACCAAATTTGGAATGCGGAGGAGTGTTCATCAACAATGTTTCCTCATGTAGAATGCACATTGAATATCCAGGATACAGGGTTGAATAGCATTAAAACAGCCGTATTTTAACAGCACTTGTATTTTAGTGGCTGGTTTTCAAAACCACAAAGTAATATGCCGTGCATGGCAAGGAGCGGGATTTTGCCCCCACACGTCCCGGAGTCTCATTCTCACCTCCTCCGCCCTCTCTCCAGGAGACGGACAGAGGAGCCGCCACAGACGGAGGGAGGTGTTAGCTGGGTGGAAAAAAAGACGGCGGGAGTAGAGAGAGGTGAGACGGTGAGAGTGAGAATAGGAGTTCTCCCAGGGCAGAAAGGAAAAGAGCAGTGGTTGCCAATTTTGCAAAGTAATTCCCAAAGTGAGTAAAGACAATTGTACTCAGACAGCGGGCGTGAGAGAGAGAAGCTGCATCTCGTGACTGTATTGATCTAATGATCAACTAGCACGATATTGAACCATTTGTTGTTTTTGTGACAATGTCACGGATGCTGTGGGAATCCGTTTATGATCTGCAATTTTTAATTAAAAGATAAACATGAAGACTGAAGTGACTGCGAGTGAAGTCAGGGAGAAAGAGACTTGAGATCGGAGGTGGTGAGCGTGGCGCCGTTAATCAAACAGCTTAGCCCTGAAGAACTCACTCCACTTCATGTGGCAATCACTCTCCTCTCGCCATCCACCATTTCTTTCTTTTGCATTATCTTATATACTCCTGTCTCTCTCCCTGGTACTCTATTCATCATTGCTATCATCTGCTTTTCAGGGGTGCAACGGATTGCAAAACGCATGGTCTGGATCGTATCAGGGTTTTGAGTCACGGAGCGGATCAGCAGGAAAAAAAATGAACAAATATAACTTTTAGAGAGATGGCCAGATCACTTCTTTTTTTGCCGCCTGTACCGATTGCCGATCGTCGATAGAGATTGTTTTTGTTGTTTTCTTTCAGCAGCCGGTAAAGGCCTACGAGGCTCCAGATTATGTTTCTCACCAATGTCCAGAAACATAATTTAAACCAATTAGGAAATCAAAGATTCTATTTTTATTGATAACAATTTAGTTTTAGTTTCTTGGTATCTTAAGCTGCTAAGAGCAAGTGTAAGAAAGTTAAACAGATCATAATTCCCTCTCGAAAGCATCTCCTTCAAACAGCTGTATCCATTCAAGTTTCCCGCCAAGATTACATTTGAACACGTCATGATTTTTGGAGCCGTAAGTAGACAATCACATTTTGCTGTTGCACCAGAGGCAAAAGTCTTACTTCCCCCAAAACTGCTCTGTTTGTTCATTACTTATGTGTAAAAAACAAATAGCACAAGTTGTGTAACACAGAACAAGCAAAAAACAACAACAACAAGAGAGGATTTTGGCCACATCCTGACTGGAACAGACATCTCTCCCAGGTGGTTCAGGACCAAATGAGTGACCCCTGACAGTGCAATCCACACACCTGGCTAAAAATACCAACCGACCGTTGGGTTTAACCCCGGACGAATCCGTGGTCGGGGCAGCAAGCAGCCATCTGACCACAAGTGCCCCCGTTGACAGCGAAGCACCTGAGCTTTCTGCCAACAGCAACAACAGATTAGGGGGGGGGGGAGGAACTCAAATACACCTGATGCCGCCCTCCTACTTCTTCCCTTCTCTTTCTTCTTCTGCTGTCCCTCAACTACACAAAGTTTATCTTGGTATTTTGCAATTAGTGACATGTTTCAAATATTAGTCGGTCAACAGTCCACAACACAGTGCTGCAAATTTGTGTTAATCATATCTGTGAATAAATAAGATATAAATGGTAGACATGCTGGATTTTAGCTTTGTTGCAGGAACCAAAGACAAGTCAGCCGAAAGGTTTTAGATTCTAAGTCTTCAACTGAGAAGATGACCACAAAATGATAGAAAATAGAAAGGGGCTCTCTGGTCAACACAACCGTAAAAAAACGACTTCCTCCAGTGATCGCCTTCCCTGCCGACTGGTTCACTTGAACACAATTAGGCTGTCTTGCCAATTACACCGCAGGTTTAGTTTTGACAGGCCTGTGGGTAGAGGAAGCTTTCAAGCGCAGACACTTATTGTTCTTCACGAGGCAGCTGAGCCGAGCCGTCGCTGTTATTTCCCCCGATGATTTCAGAACACGTTCCAGAGGCGGCGATCAGAGCACCGAGTGTAGGCGCTTTTTTCAGGTTATTTTAAATGATGAATCCCACCGGAGGGGGGAGGAGTTTCCCTGTGAATGTCCCAGACATATTTTTGCTTTTCTGCACTGAGTTCGCTTTGGGCAACCTGTAATTGCCGTAATGGAACCGCACGGAGTGTGTACTTTGCAAAAGGCTTCATTTGCATGTGTAATGTTTTTTGTCTTCAACTTCAAGAGCACACACATTTAATGTCCCTTGTGCTCCCAAAGCCATGCTTCCTGCCGCAAGACAAACACATGAGCACTGCTTTTCATGAGCCAAAAAAAAAAAAAAAAAAAAGAGAGTGACTCATCAGGTGACCAGAAACACGACCCCGAATGAATGACGGTGTTATTCTGTAATGGCTGAATGTGTAAACAAGCAACTGCTTACACTGATTTGCTACATTAACTTAAAAATGTTCATAAATTGTCTCTGCTGCCCCCAGGAGGCCAAAAAAAATGTTTTAGTAAATAAAAATTAATTCAGTAGCTCAGCTGTCTAGGTGTCAAATACTTGGACAGCAAGTGTGTGTTCACTCGCGCAGACGTAAAAGAGGCGGATTGAAGGATGCGACGGCCCCGATTAACACCTCAGAGTAATCCCAGACTCTCTGCACTTGCACGCAGCCCCCAGTGGGTTGATGGGGACGACACGGTGGTTTACCCTCGGCCTCGCAGTTCCTCGAGACAGGACCTGAACACTCGAGAACGCTGATTGTGGAGCCACGGTGTACGGTAAAGTGTGTGTGTACGTGAGGCGACGCGGAGGGAATGAAAGAAAGACTTCAATTGCTGCATCTAATCTCAGACTGCTGTCAATCCCTGACAGATCCCTTTATCTCCATTAAGAAATGTCCACCGTTCCCTGGGAATCCTCTCTTTTTATAAAAACAACACACACACACACACATTTTGTCTTTCCCTCTCTCTCTCTCTCTCTCTCTCTCTCTCTCTCCCCGTGCAGGCAGCTCCCACAAACCACTCCGCTCAAATCTTGATTGACTTTCCCATTATCGTGGAGAACTTAACTTTTTAACTCCAAGGGCACCAAGTGAGCATCACACAAAGTTAGCACGCTTTGCTTCCCTGAGCTACATATATGCAGCATTTTTCTTCTTCTTTTTGTGCAGCGTCATGACTCCATTTATGTGCAAATATCCTGGATTGTTGGGGGTGAAATAGGATGCTACCGTGGCGCTTTGGGACCTAATTGATTTTGCAGCGTTTCTTCATCACGAGACCTCCTGCTGCCATTTCGTCTAATGCGAAAACCTCATTATTGTACCTGATTCAATATCCTCCAACAGTTAAAGTCGGGGGAAATCCAGCTCCCAAACGCTGGAACACACAGCAGGTTGTGACGACGGAGGAACACACTGCATGCAATAAACCTTCTCCAGCATAACTGCAAAGCATGAGAGTTGCTTCACTCGGCCGTGAGGTTTACATACTTTCCATGGCCAATCATTCATTGGTCCATATCATGTTTCTGCATCTTAAAGTAACATCACTCACACGTGAATACGCCAAACAAACTCGCATCTCTTTAAGTAAAAAAAGACTCCTCGGGAAGTTTTTCATTAGATTTTTGGTTCTACAGGCTTTTTTTCCCTTCCGTCATCCATCACGGCAGCAGTAGGCTTTACTTTACTTTCACCGAGGCTGCACAAACAAACTTACATGATGGACAGCATCACTGCCGGAGATGAAGGGTCGTTTAGTCTGAGGAAGAGACCTCTGCACTGCCTGACATACGTGATGAGGACCAAATCAAACAACTAGTCCCGACAATACACACACACACACACACACACACACACACACACTTGTGTGTCATTATGTACTGTTTTATATATTTACAGCAGAGTGACTACACTGTACTGGCAAGTCTGGAGAGGAGTCTTACATAAATAACCTCGGTTATGTATTCTTGTAGTTTAGACTCTTTTAAATTCAGTTGAGGAAATAGGTGGCTTGTAATAGTTTAGAAAGTTTCAACAATGGTGTTTTATTCTCTGAGTTGTCAAAATTGGTGTGTTGACAGATGATGAAACGGTTTTTATACACTTGAAACACCTAAAATAAATCCCATCGAGATATGGGGAAAAAAACCTGTACTTTCCGATTATGCTCACAAGCGTAAAAATGTTCCCTGTGTTACTTTGTCTGCCGTCATCATCATCTTTTATCGCCGCCGTGGTTCTCAGCTGTAACGATCGTGTAACTTCACATGCAACATTCCACAAAATGTGACATAAATCTCACTGAACGAAGTCGTGATATCCTGGAATCTGGTCTGTTGTGACCTCATGAATTATTCCGAGGTAAGGACCATTCATCATTTTGCTCAGATCGCTCGTGAGAACGGCAGACGTGTGTGTGTGTGTGTGTGTGTGTGCGCGCGCTGTGAGGGCCATGTATTTATGAGACTCCCCAGTGTAACTCTAATGGACTCATTACCCGTGTTTGTTTTTACTCATGCACATGTGTTTCTGTGTGCGACTGCGAGTGAAATCAAACCGTATGCGACACTGTTTTTAACTGTGTGAAGGCACAACAGAAACGCCAGTGAAGAGTCTTCATTTTTCATGAGCACTTTGAGCACATGTGTGAAATATTGATGTCGTTCTTCTTCTCCCCCCCCCCCATAAGGGCTTCATTGGACGAAGGCTAACCACAACTTCTTTGACTGCCAACCTAGGGAGCCATCAATTAATGCCCTCACGCTGACGATTGAATTAACTTGACTCAGTTAAGCCCCTTTCAGACGTGAACATTGATGTGTTAAAGGAATCGCTGCGTGATAAAAGACGTACAGCTGTCTTTTCCTCCTAAGCGTGGCGGATACTTAGCCGGAGAACAGGAGCGAGTGGAGAGTAATGCCATCAAGAGGAAAGACAAGGGGGGGGGGGGGGCGCTCCTTGCTTCATTAACTCCACCAGAAGTTGTCTAAGCACCTGTAACCTGATACATTTTCCTCATAAACTTCACAACTCATTAGATATGCATGTGCCAAAGCCGCTGCTTAAAACTAAAGAAACATCAATTCAAAATGTTATTTTCCGCTTCACCTGCAGGCGTCACAATAAGGTTATTACTTTGATTAAAACTGGCTCATCCAGAGCATTTCCTTCTAGTACTTTTCAGTACTTTCCAGCTGTATATAACAATGAAATCCTCCGAATTGAATTTATTAAATGCAACCTGGACTCCGCAGAACACGGCTAGATGGATTAACCATCCCGGGAAATTGAAAGCATTTTGCAGAATACCTCGTAAACATCCATATGTATCCTAAAAGTTATCGTTCATGTTGGCACAATGACACATCCAAGCAGCAGGCAGATGTTCTAAAACACACCTTCACAACAAACTTAAAGCTATGAAAAAAAGGGATTAAAAGGATGCAAAAAATAACTCCATCCATGGCGCATATACACTTTCAGCAAACATTTTTCGTGCACAAATTGTTCTTCGCCCCCATGTGTCCTCGCCTTCCCCTCTGGTCTGTGCCACTGGCTCCCTCTACTGCCCAACTTACGTTCATAACAGCCCAGTGAGTGATACTTAGCCCACATAAACCCTACTGTAGCATGCACAAATTATTCCAATCTGGTTGGAGCCACAATTCTGACTAATGATACAGCCGACAGGGGTGTCGTTTCTCATAGTGTGATCACCATCCAGGGTAACTTAACTGTCAGAGTGGCCCTGCTGAATGTGAGTTCACTATCTAATAAATCATTCACCTGTCAAGATGTTATTTCGTCCAATAAACTATGTATGTCTTTTTTTGTCACAGAACCTTGGCTAAACATGGATATTATTCCATTAACAGAAGCTTTCTTTGTGAACTCTCTCTGAGCTCCTATGTGACATATGACATATGTATGACAGGCTTTTAATTTCAGGTGATTTTAATAGTCTCAACAACAAAGAGTATCTTCACGCGTACCTGGTTAACACCCGTGACAATTCAATTCCACATCCCCGGTCTGTAACTCAGGTTTTTATTATTTATGTATTGTTGATATATTTAGATATTAAGGCCACAACAATTTTTTTTCTGACTGGTTTTAACACCGATGATTTAAACATGATGAATTAATTCTGAATCGCTACATTTAGCGAGTGAAGTGCATATCTCAAAGGGGCTCCAGTTAGCCTTTTTGCTTTATAAAGCAGAAAGTGTGTTTGTGTGTCATTACACTGTCAACAGTGCATTCGGGAGTATGCATCAGACTGTATCACACTAGGCAAATCATTTATACAGACAACAAAGCCCAACGCAGATCCTTCAGGTCACTGGTTTCCAGCCTGAACTGGAATTTACTTCCCCTTCCCTGTTACGTAAAAAGTATTGTATCCAGTCTGTTACTCATCTATGCGATTTATATTTTGACCACAGTCTTTTATGAGGAACTGTATGTTTTGGAAATCCATATACATACAATCGACTAACTGTCCTCTATCCAAAGCTGCTGACCACTGATCAAGAACTCTGACATCTACTGTTTTCTTCTCGATGGTTCTTACTAGCCACACTCTGATAACTCCTCAGAGTTTTAGATAAATGAATCATTTGTAGGAGCTCATCCAGGTGAGACGCTTCTCATACTTACTTCCTTAGTCATTCAAAAGTTATTATGTTTGGGGGAAATCATGCATAAAGAAACAGAATGAGAGGAGGAACACAAAGCTCATTGCAGACAATGACCCTCTCCTCACCAAAGTAAAAAGTCTGCCTGTGAAAAATATCCAGTGAAAGTGAAAAACAGTGAATCAGTGTAAATAAAAGGTCATCAGGAGGACTACGAGAGGCTGAAAAAGAGAAAATTGGAAATGTGGAAAAAAAATGAGAGAAGTGTGGTGCATGTTTTTGATGGACATCCTGTTGCCGTGGTTACCTGAGTGCGGCGCGGAGCCTCCACGACTATAGAGGGGAGGAGCCTGAAAGGCGTAGATGACGTCGCTATCGGCGATTGCCGTCAGGTCATCGTCATCTGAAAAGGAACGCTGGAAACCCGTGGAGTACAACTCTGAAAGGATGACCTGTGAGAGAGAAAAAAATACATCAAGACACAAATTCAAAAAGAGCAACATCTGCAAAGGGAATAATATTAAGGACAAGTTTCTTTTATCTATCAGAGAAGTGTATTTCATGTTTAAGTCAGAGATCCCCAGGGCCCTGACAGTCAAACAGAACATTTGTATTAAGTGAGGAGAGCGATGTGATTCACACTGATGAATATTTTGTGCTTGTAAGTATTTAAAGTGCAGACAGAGAAGGTTGTTTTTCTCCTATTTATTTGTTTGTGTTCCAAAATACTCAATTGTGATTGGATGGCAGATGTCCTGCTTACGTGCAAAATATATGTGAAAGGATTATTAAAATGCAGGTAACCAAAGCAACTGCTCTTACGTCGTCACACTGTTGAAATATGAACGAGCCATGGGCTTGATTGACTTAAATCAAACCTATGATAATGTCACAGAGTGTGGCCAGTATGACTCAGTGTGTGTGTGTGTTTGTTTGGTTAAGGGCCTCACCCGTTTTAATATTAAGTGCAAACCCCACCCACCTGTGTTTAGGTGTACGCTGGCAGGAATACAAGCAAAACCAATACGAGTGACAAAGGGGTAAATGTTCCCACTCTAACTAATGCAACAAAACAAACAGAAGAGTGTGGGAGATGTTAATTAAGTACATTGTCCAGGCGCAGTCCTGAGAAGAGGTCTAATCAGTATGTGAAAACGCCTGTGTGGGTAGACCATGGGACCGTGGGTGGGAGCTTAACAAGAAAATCTCACCCTGTGAACTGAAAAAAATTTCCTTATCGGGAAGCCAGTGAAGCTGCAAGAAAAAACAAAACACGAAAACAGGGCAAAAAGATAAAGATAGAAGCTAAAGCCTAAAGATCCCAGTGTTAAAGTGAACCACTGCGTCACCTGGCGGTCGAGACGCGGGACAATGAAATTAAGGAACAGCACTGTTCCTGTAAAGCCGGGTAGGTCTTTATTTACTCTTACTATCATTAAGAAGCAAAAGCTGCATGATTTAAGAAGAAGTCTTAAATCAGAAGAACGTTGGTGCATCACAACACTGACGTAAAGAAGAATTTAAATTCCAGGCAAAACCATGGCAGACACTGAGAACCAAAGGGTGACATAAAGAAAACCCCTCAGAGGAACATTATTACATCAAGACACTTTCTATACAGTGTATTTTGGAAAAGATTTTGACATAAAGGTATATTTTTTTATAAGAATAGATAGTGGAACAATCCACTTATCGACCACAAAAAGGGTATCTTTGCTTCTCTTTTACTCTCACGCTGCTGTGGACACGGGTTTATAAAACCCAGGAATATTCATCATCTGTTGTCGGGCAGGTGAAAGATTTATGAACGGATACCTCTGGAACCTTTTCCTCTAACCTTTATCTTGATGGTGACATTTCAGCTTACTATGTGAACGCATTCAACTGTTACCCTGCTATATAATAGAGACTTCTGTTTGATTTTTTGTTTTGTTTTGAACCTGGGTTTTCTAGCTCCTCTCTTGAGCGCCTGCCTGCTCTCCTCCCTGCTTTGTGGTCTCCTAGTGGCGAGGAATGAGGCAGAGGGGCCATCTTCTGTTACCAGTGTTGCATAAAAGCGTGGTGTAATAAGCAAGGTAAACAGCTAACTAGCCAGCTGCTAAATTAATAATATTTACCAACTTAATGCTTCAGCCACTCAGTCTTGTCACATGTGTAGGAAAAGCACATTGCTATCACCAGATGAGTGAGAACTTTATTCGGATCTTTTTCTGTAACCAGTGCTGCGTGAGAGCATGGAGGAATAAGCAAGCTAGCAAAGTAGCCAGCCGTCCGCTAGTTAGCTTGCTACTTCCGCCATGCTTTCATTCAACCAACTCTTCATCTCTCTAATAGTTTGGTCTAACAGCAACATCTCTCTCCACCTCTATAATAATTTAGCAGCAGCCGTGACGGCTGTTTTAAACTATAAGTAACATTTTCTCTCTAAAACATTTCCCCAATATTGCAGCTTGATAGAGCCTTGAATCCCAGTTCATCATCTCAAATGTATGCAATTTGGATTCTGGCAGTCAACAACACAGCAAGATGATATTTCATGTCCAACCTCAGCCCCGCTACCCTTGAGGTGATTCGTGCCTCCAGTGTTTCCTTTGTTCTGCCTCCAGCTAACGCTGTGACGTAATCTTGAAGTCGGCTGTAAAATGCTCTATATAACAGAGCAAAGCAGCAAATCCTCGTTTTTTTTAGATACTAGAACCATCAAGTGTTTGGCATTTTTACACAAAAAAAGAAAGCTGGGTTACAAAAATAGATCTTTCATTAAAGCCCATAAATACTTCTGATCCACCCACACAGGTGTTTCCACTTATTCTACCTCTTCTCAGGACTGTGTGAGAGCGTGCAGACTGCTTGATTTGCATCTCCCTCACTCTCCTGTGGCACCTCTAGAGTCTGGTGACCTCGCGTAATTTTCCGTCCCAATTTTACAGAGCAGACGTCTTTGTGTGTGTGTGTGTGTGTGTGTGTGTGTGTGTGTGTGTGTGTTTCTGTACCTGGTCCGGGGAGATTTTGCCCTCCTCTGCCACCATGGCTCTCAGGCAGGACAGGGAACCAAAGAGGGGTACAGCCAGCCCCACCCGCAGGTACCTCTGACCCTTCGTACTGAACACCAGCGTCACACACATCGGCCTGTGGGGCAAATAAAACAGGGGGCCAAAGGGAGGGAGGGTGAGGAAGACAGAGAGGGAGATAGATGATATAGAGCAAAGTGCCAAATTGTTTTGCAATTCTGATTTTGCATGTTTACATTTATTACAGATTCCAAACAAACCCTGGCACACTGAGTCATTAACATATTTGTATGCAGACACACACACACACACATCAGTTGATACGTGCATACCGTTTAGAGATCCACACATCAACCAAAACCAAAAAGAGACGATAATATGACTGAAGAATTCAAGGACGCCGGGGGCAACCGACGCCGTGTTGTCAGTTTGTTCATACGATGTGTTGAGTCTTGATGTATTTCAGCTGCTTAACAGCAAAACAAAACATTCGATAAAATGAGACTTTGAGACGCGCCGCTGAGCTGTTTCATGGCTAATAAGATTGGGGAAAAGATTTCCTCTTGACAATACTGTCGTACAAAATCTAATTTCATGAGCACAAACCATCCGATTTGTCTGTGTCGGACTTTTTTTTTATCTGAAGTGAATAAACTATTTCCAGATGTTGTCTTTAGTGTTTCATTTTCCCCTGATGCGTGACAAGACATGAGCAGCACATCGGTGATGGTCCCGCATGAAGAAACCTGAAATCTTTCAGGGATGAAGATTTAAAAAGGGTCGAGGTGCCGCGGGAAGATGAGAGGACATGAAGGAGAGCAGGTAGCATGGAGGAGAAGACGGGGCGGGGAGACAGAGTAAGGTCACGCCTTCTCATTTGGGAAGAAGACCTCCACTTCCTGTTTCCCATCATGCATTATTCAGGTGAGTAATGTGTTATGCGGCGGCGAGGCTGACAGGGCAGACGGCGGAGGATCTGAGGCAGATGTTTTGTTTGCGCTGTTAGATGCTGCGCGATGAGACACCGAGATGTGCAATGAAACGGCAACAGAGGTGTAGGATGACACTCGAGAGGAAGAGGAAATGGAGATGTCATCTTACAAAGCAGGGTTTTCTTCTTTTTTTTTTTTTTGCAGCCTCCCGAGCCCCAGCTGGATCGGAGCCTGTTAGTCCTCATTAAACAGAAACCTCTCATATGTTCCCACATGAAGCACCAAGAGCGCACGGTGTATGCAGTCTTTAACACTCTCTTGAAATATTCAATCAACAAGCGCAGTATTTAACAGTAATTGTAATCTTTTTCTGGTAATGAAAGCTAATTTGAAAGGTCTGTGTTCAGGTGCTGGTTGAAAACGAGTGGCACAGTTTAAAAAAAGAAATTGGTGCAGCAGAACCAGATCATCTTTATTCCATGCATTCTTCTACCTTGTCAAAACCTGCCTTCTACATTACCCCCAATGCAACTCGATCGTTTTAGAAAATAATAACTCTAGTAGGAATTATGCTGAGACTGACTGTGCAAGGTTAGATCAGGAGAAAACACTCAGAGATACTGCCGTCCTACTATTCTCTCCGCCACAACAGCATTATCTGCAGCACCCAGACCTCAATGCCCTACTGCCAGCCAGACCCCGCTGTGTCTCTGGGGGCCCTCCGACTTATCAGGCATTCTGCTGGGATACTGCTGCAGCAGGACGACGCAATGAGGCCACTGTGTGTGTGTGTGTGTGTGTGTGTGTGTATGTATGTATTGGGGGGGAGGGGGGCACAGACCAAACACTGTCAGAGAAATGGGGTTGTGGAAGTCATTCGTGCAGAGAGGATGCAGATCAGCAGCGTCTGTATGTTTGAAGATAGAGGGATTCACTGAACACTGAACGTAGGCATTTGTTTCTTTTCTTTCTCTTTTAAGATGTCTTGTGCATGTCTGGACACATGGAGAGAGAACAGAGAGAGAGAACGGGGCTAATATGTGACAAAATGTTGTGGTTACCCAGCATGCCTTGGTCACCAAGACGCCCCTCATTCGACTTATTTCAAGTTTTCAGTTATTCTGGGTGGTTAGACCTCTACTTAGTTCGACGTTGGGTTGAAGCTTTGATGGGAATAGAGGTGTCACGAGAACCGATACTTCGGTACCAAGTCGATGCTAAAATTCTGAAAACACTACAGGACTTGTGTCGAGACAAACGGGGTCTAAAATCCGAAAAGGACACAGTAAACTCACTATCCACGCGTCCACCCTATCTTATCCCTGATAATGCTGCATTGCACACAACAAATCTGTGTTGAACTCGGCAGGAGGGAGGCTAGTAAATGTTAGCTGTTAGTAGCACAGTCCTGCTGAGCTAACGTTAAGGTTGCATTGAGTTTCATCGTTTTTTTTTACAGCAATATAAACCAAATATTAAAGAGGGGATTATAACGTGGCTTTAATTGTTTTTTTTGTTGCATTTTTACGGTGGTATCAAATTGGGTATCGAATATCGTGGAATTTCACAGGTATTGGTATCGACTACTTAATTACTGGCATCTTGACATACATAGACGGGAATCATGAGGAAGAAGTCAATCAATCCTGAGTCCTGAGACTGGCTCTAATCAGCCAAAATAATTAAAATCCCCTGGGTGTGTAGGGCCTTTAATGCCGAACCCCAGTGTACACTAGAGCCACGAAGTCTTATCTCCCTCTTTCTCTCTCTATTTGCGTCTCTATTGTCAAACTCAGCAAGATCAACATTGAGTAGCCTTAATAGAGCATTGACAAACAGCCCATAATTAATTTTTATATGCATATACACACACATATATACATATATATATATACACACACATATATATATATATATACACACATATACACATATATATATATATATATACACACATATACACACACATATATACATATATATATATACACAGACATACATATACATATATACACATATATATACACACACACATATATATACACACATATATATACACACACACATATATATACACACATATATATACACACACACATATATATACACACACACACATACATATACACACATATATATATATACACACATACATATACACACATATATATATATACACACATACATATACACACA